AAATAGGACTAGGGCAGAATTGCCTCTTGAAAATAGAGTAAACTGTAATGACATGAAAGGAGGCTAGCTTTCAGGACCTTTCTTTGCTGATGGGGCACAAATCAAAATGAGGAGAAACAGCTGTAAACTTCCATTAATAATCAGAACATGGAATATATGAGGTATGAATCTAGGAAACCTGGAAGTTGTAAAAAATGAAATGGAACTAATACATATCAATATCCTAGGCATTGTTGTTGTTGTTGTTAACTGCTGTCAAGTTGGCTCTGGCCCATAGCAACGCTTATAGTGTTTCCAAGGAGCAGCTGGTGAGCTTGAATCGCCAAACTTGCAGTTCAAACTGCTTTACAGTCTGGCTCATTAACCCACAATGCCATACCAGGACTCCATCTTAGGTATTAGTGAGCTGAAATTGACTGGTATTGAAGATTTTGAATGTGAAAATCACATGGTTTAATATGTCTGGAATGACAAATTGAAGAGGAATCGCATCACATTCATCATTAAAAAGAACATTTCAAGATCTCATTTGAAATACAATGCTTCCTGTGACAGGATAATATCCATATGCCTACAAGGAAGACCAGTAAATACAACTGTTACTCAAATTTATGCACCAATGACTAAAGCCAATGATGATGAAATTGAAGAATTCTGCCAACTTCTTCAGTTAGAAATTAATCAAACATGCAATAAAGATGTATTCATAATTACTAGTGTTTGGAATACAAAGGTTGGAAAAAAAGAGGAAGAATCAGCAGTTGGAAAATAAGGCCTTGAAGATAGAAATTATACTGGAGATTATTCCATGATAGATTTTGCAAGACCAATGATTTCTTCATTGCAAACATCATTTTTAAACAACATAAAAGATGACTGTGCACATGGAATTCACCAGATAGAATACACAGAAATGAAATTGATTACATTTGTGGAAAGAGGCAGTGGAAAAGTTCCATATCATCAGTCAAAACAAGGCCAGTGAAAGATTGTGAAGCAGACCATTAATTACTCATATGAAAGCTCAGGCTGAAGCTGAAGAAAAGTGAAACAAGTCCATGAAAACCAAAATATGAATTGGAATATATTCCACTGGAATTTAGAGATCATCTTAAGAACAGATTTGGTGAATTAGACATTAATTACTGAAGACCAGAAGAGTTGTGGCAAGGCATCAAGAACATAATACAGGAAGATAAGAAAGAAGATAAAAGACCAAAATGGGTATTAGAAAAGATTCAAAACCTTGCTTCCCAATGTAGAGATGCTAAAGCAAATGGAAGAAATGAGGAAGTAAAAGAGCTGAACAAGTCAGTCAAAAAACAGAAATACTGCATAGGACCACTACTGTAAAAGACTAAGAAAAAGAGCCCATACTAAAGGGGGTGGGGGAAATTCTTTATTGATCACTGTGATGTTGGGGGTGGGTGTGGGGAGGGAGGGGAAAGTGGAGCACAGGGCAGGGATTAGACACGGGAAAGTTTGGGTGCTGGGGAGGGGGGCAATATACAAGAAGGGAGAGTGGAATGGAAGAACAATTAGGCATGCTTGAATGGGCTAAGTAGGACAGAGGTAAAGAATGATGCATGCACAATCTTGGAACCACAGGATACAGAGATTGAAACATGGTTGCAATGGGGAAAAGGGGGGATAATGTTAAGATGCTTGGATGTCTTTTGAATCTTGGTTTTCCTTGCATTATA